CTGCCGGCCCCCGCGCCACCCGCCAGCCGCCAGGACGCCCCCGCCGCCGCGGCGCCGCCCCTCTACCCCTCCACCACTCAACGCTGTGCTCGCGCCCACGCGCTCACTCCGGGAACATGAGGCCGGCGTCCACGAGAATGTAGCGGTCCCGCACGCCCACCAGCATGCAATTCATGCCGATCTCGCCCAGCCCGCCGACGGGCAGCACGCGCAGCGGCGGCCCTTCGCCGCCCGGCGGCCCAGGGAACGGGCGGCCGGCGACGCGGTCGAGCACCGAGCCCAGGTGGGAGGTGCCGTCGCTGGATTTGTGCCAGCGCTTGATGCTCCATGCGAGAGGGTCGTTGGCCTCCTCGGCCTGTGCCGCGCCTGCACCATTGAAATGAAAAAGGTCGAGATCACTTTTGCCGCTGCACGGGCCCGCATGAGGCAATATATATAATATAAAGCATTCTCACCTGCATCTGCCACAACCCTCACAATCCGGGACACCCGTCCTCGGCTCCTGCCGCTGCAACCAAGCAAAGACTGGGGCCGAGGTGCCCTGGCGCGCTGCCAGAGCGAGCGGGTTGGCTGCATGGCTACTAAATTAACGTAAGAGTGCAATGGGCGTGCTGCATAGCGCAGATACATGCGACGCGGCGGAAGCGCGACGGCCGCACACATGAGGTGGCGTGGTGGTGGCACGCCTGGCGCAGCTCGCCTCCCGGCCAGCTCTACGTCAACTTATCCAATAACAGCTGTGGTGTTACACAAAATCAGCTCAGTCAATGTACAAAAGGAACACCTAGCCGAAAGGGGCGGCGCAAAGCGGGGCGAAAGTCGCGCCGTGTGTGCTGAGCGCCGAGAACGCCTGGGGCTCAGAAGAAGCCTGTATGTGGGTCATCATGGCATGGCATGCGTGTCAAAACGCGCAGCAGCAGCCGCCGCCTAGTCAACGCCCCACATATGACGGGGCGCGGAGCAGGGCGGCAGGTCTTCCGCGCTCAAACGAGTCAACGTGATCAGTAGGCAGCCGGGGCAGCCGGCCTGGAAGTGTCATCAAATCCTTTACGCGCGCTCCCCGCGGATGCGGCGCGCCAGCTGGATGTCCTTGGGCATGATGGTGACGCGCTTGGCGTGGATGGCGCACAGGTTGGTGTCCTCAAACAGGCCGACCTGCGTGTTTTGTTCGTGTGTATGTGTGTGTGTGTGTGTGTGTAGGGGGGGGGGCACAGCAGGGTGAGGCGAAATTCGCGCTGTTAGCCTTTGTGCAGGGTGCCAAAACCAAGTCCAGCCCGTGCTGAAATGGCACACTCCACTTCTGTCGATGCCAATCGTGTGTGCGCGCGCAGCCGCCATGACGCCATGACAACCGCGTGCCGCGCGGGTGCCAGATGGACTCCGCACGCCGCTGCTTTTGTGCTCCAAGTAAGGTACGACTGCGGAAGCGAGCAACCCCGACGCACCAGGTAAGCCTCCGCCGCCTCCTGCAGCGCCAGCACAGCGCTCGACTGGAAGCGCAGGTCGGTCTTGAAGTCCTGGGCGATCTCGCGCACCAGGCGCTGGAAGGGCAGCTTGCGGATCAGCAGCTCAGTGGACTTCTGGTACTTGCGGATCTCGCGCAGCGCCACAGTTCCGGGCCTGTACCTGTGGGGCTTCTTCACACCGCCCGTCGCGGGCGCCGACTTGCGCGCGGCCTGGGGGCAAGGACGGGGCCGAGTGGGGGTGCGCCGCATGTCAGACATTGGGGCAGGTTCCGCCAAGGCCACACGGCGCCCCGCGGGCGCAAGGCGCGGGCCGACGCGGGCGCAGTCAGGGTGCGGCACTTGTTGCGAAGTGCAAGGGAGACACTGGGCCGTAATGTGATACGGCAGCGTGCCCCACGCATCGTCCATGCACGACCCTCTAACGAGCAAGCATCCCTGAACCGCATAGACGCGAGCCCTCTGCGCGCATGGCAAGCCAAACCTCAGTGCAAGGCCCCCGCGCAGCTCGCGTTGAGCCGCTTACCTTTGTCGCCAGCTGCTTCCTTGGCGCCTTGCCCCCCGTCGACTTGCGAGCCGTCTGCTTCGTGCGGGCCATAGTTTGCAGCGGAGATCGAAATGTCCTTGGCCAGGTGTGGGAGGCTGGCAAAGCTCAAAGGGTAGAATTGTAATGTGTGAAGTAAAAGTATGAAATACCGTACGAAACGAGATGCGCGCTCGCACCAATAATTTGCCGTGACTCAGGTACCGACGCCCGCCTGCCGCCTCCTGGCAGTGCTGCCGCACTCATGCACACGCGGCGCCCTCAAGTCCCATCATCAACCTGGTCATGCGTCACGTCACAAAGCCGTGGCACGCGGCGTGCGTTGCGCGGGCGGTTGAACCAGCGGCAGTTTCCCACCAGTGCCGTGTTTGTCCTCTGTAGAGAGGCGACGGCGCACCTCGCAACCACAACTGGCGCTGCAACGCAATGTCATGAGGCCGCGCCTGGCTACGCATGAGCGGCAGTGCGCAAAGAAGGCCTGCTGGGAATGAGATGCACACACGCGATCAGTCATCAAGGCGAATAGTACGCATCCATGCGAGCGAGTGGCAGAGCGGACGTGGAGCGAGCCCGCCTGGCAGCCATCAGCAATCAGTTCCAGGCAAAGCGGAGCGCCCCGAGGCGGGCCAGGCATGTTGAGGAGGCGTGCGCGGCACAGCTGTTGGGACGCACAAGGTGGGGCCGGCACGCGGCAGGGTGCTGCGTTGCGGCCAGCCCGGCCGTCACGAGCAGCAGCGCCGCCGCGCCCGCTGCAAGCAGCGCCTCTGCGCCTGCTGCAGGCATGCCCTAGGCGCCCGCCGCACCCAGCGCACCGGCCCCGAATGCAAGAAGTTGGGCCACAGACGAGCGCTGAGGTGTCAGCAGCCTGCGCCACGTCGTTCCCTGGCACGCACCCCCCCGCAATGGGCCCCTGCCAAGTCACACCCACCCTGCTGCATCGCCCCGCGCGCGCCCCGCTCGATAGGGGTGCTAGGGGCAGTGCCCCCGTCGCGCTGCGCTGCCTGGGCCCAAGGCTGCATATTTCAGGGCGCTTCAGTTTGATGCCTGCATTCACTACAATCGTTAATGCCCGCTTCAACACCAAGATTGTCTGCCGCACGTGTGCCACCCCGCCAACATTGCCCGCACGCGTTGCGCCCGTGTCCCCCTGGGCTGCCCTGGATGCCGCAACGGCGCCGATGCAGCGCGGCGGCAACCAGCCAGCAGGCAGCCACGACCCCCCCTTGGACGGCTCATGGCATTCGACTGAAACCACCTGGGTCCCATGCCTCTTCCATGCGTTTGATTTACACAGCTTCCGGCCGGCCAACGCCGCCGTCCCATGGCCCCCGCTCACTCCGCCTCGCCGCCGCCGCCGCCGCCGGCGCCGGCCAGCGCCTTGAGCGCAGGCAGCGCCGCCGCCAGCCGCTCCGCGGGCCCCGGGCTACCATCCCCCTCCCCGCCGCCGCCGCCGCCGCCCTGCTGCTTCAACAATTCCACCACGCCGTCCAAGAAGCCCTGCGCCACTGCAAAGCCGTCCTCTGGCAGCAGCGGCTTGAGCCGCAGCAGCACGGGGCCCATCGCGCGACCGGGCACCGACAGCAGGCGGCCGGTGGCCTTGAGGTGCAGCAGCGGGAGCGCCAGCGCGAGCGCGGCCTGGGGCGGTCGTAGGGGTTGATTTGAGTTGGACAAGAGCAGGGTTTAAGTCAACAGGGGAGAAGAAGATGTTGAGGGTTTAGCCCACAGCCCGCCTGGCCGACCAGCAGCGCTGTTCACCCCAGCAGTTTTGAGGGAGGGGGGCATGTGCCAACAGGTGCGGGCCAGCGAGCACTGCAGAGCGTCATCCTGCCGAAGCTCGACCGGCCGCCAGCGTCATCGCCATCCAGAGCATCGGCCGAGGTCGTTTCACACTAGACCAGATTGAACCAAATCAGATCAGATCACTCACCGCAGGGTCCTCCTCATCCGACAGCAGCGCCAGCAGCCGCGCCTTGGCCGCCGCCGCAGCCGCCTTCTCACTCTTCTTGTCCAGCCGCCGCAGCCGCAGGCCGCACTCCGACGCGGCGGCCTCGAGAGCCGACTCCACCTCCTGAGGCGAGCAAATCGGGGGTGATGGCCGTTGCCGAGGTGCAGGGCTGCACACAAAGGGCCGGGGCCGCTTGCCCTGCTGGCCTTTGCGCACGAAAGGCAAGCACTCGCTTCCGCGCCGCCGCACGCACAACACACGCACGTGCCGGCATGGCGGATGGCGCGCTCGCGGCACAGGTTGGGCGCGCCGCGTCCGCCCCGTGCTGCGCCCCGCACCTGCGTCCCGCCGGCCGCCAGCGCCTCCACCGCCTTGCCCACCGGCCCCGACACGTCGGCGCTCAGACCCTTCACGAGCTTCGCCCGCTCCGCCGCCGAGTACGCGACGGCGCCGCCCCCGCCCTCCGCGCCGCCCGCCGCCGGCGCGGCCGCGGCCGCGTCGTCGCCGTCCCCAAACTCGAGCTGGCACCAGCGGAGCAGCGCGTCGACGCACTCTGCGCCGGTGGTGCGCGCGGCGTGGCGCGCGAGCAGCGACTGCAGCTGCTCGTCGTCCTGCGGAGGTGTCGGTTGGTGCCAGATGTACCAAATTTCAGGTTTGGGGGAGAAAACACGGCTTGGGCGGTGTCGTTTGTGATGCTATGCTGCCACAGCATGAGCTGCGGCTGTCTTGCAGTCATGCATGAGGAGACTGGCGGTTGCCAGATTAGGCTGAGGGATCAGCGGGTTGTGGATGCAATCAATTGGGAGGGTTGGGACTGCTGCCCGGGGGTGATGCCTGGAGTCAGGTCCGTGGAAGGAGCCCCTCACGCATGGCGGCGCCGCCGCGCGGCGCTGTCACACGCACATTTGGCAGCGGCACACGCGCGGCAGCGGCGGCGGCGGCTACGGGGCAGCTGCAAGCGGATCGTTTGGCACTGCGGGCAGCCGACCCAGGCGCGCATCGTGCTGGGGCCGGCCCGAGTTGTTCCCAGGGGGTGCGGCGAAACACGTCACATTTAAACGACACACCCAGCCGTCCAGCCGGCTGAAACCCACCGCCAGGCCCTCGCAGCCGTGAGCGTAGAGCTGCAGCCGCACGTGCGCCTCCTCCAGCGCCCTGGACGCCGCGTCGCGCGCCTTGCGGCGAGCGTCGGCGCCGGCGGTGAAGGCGGCGGCGAGCGCGGCTTGGTAGGCCGCGACGGCGAAGGGGTGCAGGAGCTCGGCGATTGCCGTTGGGAGGTCTGGGTCGCTGCCTGGGCAGGTTGCAGGTTGAAAATGGGCGCATGTATGAGCTGTGGTGTGTGTTATTGTGTTTGTTGTGTGCATCTGTGTATGTCGTGTGAAATAGTGAAAGTGTGAGTGTATGTCTCATGTGCATGTGCACTTGGAGCACCACACGGGGCGCATGCCCGCGCGTTCCGCGCAACAGGCAACATGCTGAGAAAGCATGGCGCCGCTGCCGCCCCCGCCGCAGGGGAGGGCCCCGCCCTTGCAGCGCCCTGCCAGGCTGACGCTCACCTGCGCCCTCCATATCCGGATGCATCTCCAAAACAGCATCCGCCAGCCGCTGCACCGACAGCGCCCCGTCGCCGCCCTCCTCCGCCGCCGCCCCGCCGCCGCCCTTGCCCCCGCCGCCGCCGCCCTTGCCGCCGCCGCCGCCCTTGGCCGCGCCGCCGCCGCCGCCCTTGGCCTTGGCGCCACCGCCGCCCTTGCCGCCCTTCTTCCCACCCTTCTTCCCACCGCGGCCCCAATCCTCGTCATCGTCGCTGCCAACCGCCGCCGCCGCCTGCTTCTTGCCGCCGCCGCCAGCCCCGCCGTCGCTCTTGCCGCCGCCGCCGCCGCCGCCGCCCGCGCGCCGCTCCTTGATCGCCTTCTCGGCAGCTTCCTTTGCGGCCTCCTCCAGCTTCCCCCGGGCCGCCTCCAGCAGCTGCCCGGCCACCACGCAGCTCCCCGCAAGCACCTCCAGCCGCCGGAACTTCGCCCGCTCGCCTTCCGACGCACCTTTCCCGCCCTTTGCGCGCTCCTTTTCGGGCGACGCCCCCGCCGCCGCGACGGCGTGGCAGCGGCGCAGCAGCAGCAGTATATCGGCGGACGCGAGCGCGGGCGGCAGCAGGGCCGCCGCGTCCAGCCAGCCGGCGGCGGAGGCGGCCTCATCCACACCTCCCTCCAGCTGGGCCAGGAGCGACGGCGAGACGAAGGCTGCGCGGACGAGGAGACGGGCCGGGCGGGGGCGCCGGCGCCACAGGTCGGCATGCTTACGGTAATCAGGGGGGAGCGCCTTGGCGGCAAGAGGGGACCAACCTGCCACTGGCCGCCCCAGGCGCCTCGTCCCGCGCGCTCCCGCGCCCGCGCGGCAGGCGGCCACCACTCGGGGCCGCCTGGCACAGCCGGACGCGCCGTTTTCTCTCCCCGCCGCGGGGACGCCGCACCTGTTTCCAAGGGGATGCCCTCCGGGAACGCCGCCTGCAGGTACGCCCTGTCGTTGGCCACCCCCATCCGCCGCGCTGTGTCGTACGCCACCCAGCCGTTCTGGCTGTAGAACCCCTTCACCGCCGCCGCCTGCGCGCCCGAGTACACGGCCGGCGTCCACACGCCGCCCTGCACGCCGCCCTTCAGCGCCCCCAGCACCGCGCCCTCAGAAACCAGCTCCTCCACAAGTCCCGCCGCCACGCCGCCGCCGCCGCCGCCGGCGAGGCCGTCGGCGGGGCCGAGGTCCTTGAGTATCCCCGCCAGCCCCGCGGGCGCGGCGGCGCCGCGCAGCGCGCCGCGCAGGCGGGCCTTCAGGTTTCGCACGTAGGCGGGCGTGTACAAGAGGGAGCCCTCGAGGCGGCCGCGGATGGCGCCGCCGGCGCCGGCGCGGGCCTTGACGGTGGAGAGCAGCAGCTCGCTGCTGAGGGAGTAGGACACTGCCAGGTCAGCGAGGCTCAGCACGCCCGATTCCTGCCAGATTGGGGGGTTGGGTTTGTCACCGTGGCGGGTGCGGTACGGTGGTGAGTGGCCGCGGCTGGGCGCGGCAGGAGGAGGGGGGAGCCGAGGCCCCGCGCCGGCGCCGCGTCGCGAGCTCCAGCAGCGGCCTGCTGCCGCCCAGCCGCCGTGCAGACCCCCGCAGGCCGCTGCGCCTCTGCTGCTGACACACGCGCCCAACTGCCACCGCCCCCCATTTCCTGGCTGCCAACCCCAGCTGCCAACAGCTCCCTCCTGATCCACTTATGCAACCGTCGGCAGCGTCACCGCCTGTACAACCCCCCACTGCTCAGCTCGCCGGGCCCACTCTACACCCGGCTCCCGCCCAGCTTCCCTCAGCTGCCGCTCGGCTTCTGCACAGCTTCTCCTCACCTGCAGCAGGTCGTCCACCTCAGCAGCCAGAAGGTCAAAGTACTGGCTGGTGATGAGCTCCCCTGCCGCCTCTATGACTGTGCCGCCAGACTCGGACACAATGAGGGCGGCCTGCCGGTACGCGAGACGCGCGGGCCGCGGCAACGGGGGACGTTGAGCGGGGACGGCTTTGGCGGCGGGGGGACGGCGCAGCGGGGGAACGAACGCGCCCGCCGGCGTGCATCCGGCCGCCGACCCAACCGGTCGAGGCGTCAATGCACGGGTTCGGACGTGCCCTGATGCAGAGACCTCGCTCTGAGTCGCAGTGTGCAATGTACAGATGGAGAGAATCACTTGTGGAAGAACCCCCTACCTGCTTCTCGCAGTGGGTGAGGTCAACGCCGACGAGGGCAGGCAGCTCAGCCAACTCGAGCCGCCCGCCCGCCGCCGCGAGCGCCGCCTTGACGTCCGCCTTCAGTCGGTCCGTTGTAATGTATTCTTTGCCGTTTATGGTGTGCAGCAGGTCGTCCCCGATGAGGCCGAGCTGCTTCAATTTTATGACGAGTTCCACCACATTCCTGTCGCTGAGCTTGACGCTCGCCTTGGCCTGCTGCGTCGCCTGCAGCTGCGCGAGCAGGTCCCCCAGGTCGCCGCCGAGGGCGTCCATTGCAGCCGGCGCCGCCGCCGTGGGGATCGGGGCGGCCTGCGAGCAGGCGCGAGGGGCGGGGTTGGGCAGCGGACAGCGGCACGAGCGCGCGCTGCTCATGCTGGAAGGCCCGCTTCGGGCGCGCCGGCGATCGACGCCAGGGTGCCGTTGGAGGATTGATGTGGCTCGCTCACCTCCGACGGGCTGTGTCTACGCCCAAAGCAGGCGCTCTCTGTGCGGTTTATCCAGTGTACCGTATGATCTGCGCCCTTCGGGCAGCTACAACGTATGCATTGACTCAAACAGAATACAGAGCAATCTGTTTAACAACGCTGCTGGTGTGATTACGGAACCACACCGCAAGTACCGTACACGGAAGCTGGCAGCACTGCCACTTGGCGTGCCGAATACACCACCGGGTGGCACCCTCCCTCCTCTCACCCCTGCTCTCCCCTCCCCCGCCGCCAAGGCCCGGGGCACCTCGCCGGGCCCGCCGCCGCCACAGATATTACAGCATCTCGCCCCTACGAGCTGCACACCTGCGCCAAGCGGCAGCCCTTTTTGCCCCAGCCCAGCCGCATGGCCCCCGGCCTCAACCCGCGTCAGCAGCGGCGCAGCGGCAGCAGCCGTGGTCTACCTGCACATGCTAGCAGTCTTTGACTGCGGCGTGAGTCAGCGCGTCACGCGGCTCCCCCCCTCTTGGCTAATGCAGCAGGCGGCATCGACCTCATCACCCTCACCCCTGACCACGCCTGACCCGGGGCATGCAGGTGGGGGCCCCGACCAGACATCCTGGCCTGGGGATGTTGATAACCGCATGCTGCAGGGGGACAGCTAGCTAGAACCAATGTGCTAGCACAGATACTGGTGCCTGGTAACACGTTCACGCGCGTATGGAGGAGGTGGCAAAGTAAGCAGTGCAGCATACCGTCAAATTTATTGCAAAGCATCAACCTGGTCAGAGAAGTCCACAGCCTCCGGCAGCTCACCGGTCGCCTCCAGCAGCTGCTTGCTGGGGAACCAGTCGCTCAACTCGTGCAAGGCATCGTCACCACAATCGGCACCATCACTAAACGCAGGAGCACGCCCTTGCAGTGGAGGCTCCCACAGCTTGACGCGCTCAGGGTGATGCAGCTGGTCCGGGATTTCGGGTGGTGCGTCTGCATTGGTGAGGGCCGAGGGCAGGTCTGACAGGGCATCCTTCAGGAAGTCGTAGAATGCGCCCATGCCATGCAGGACGCGCTCCACCACAACTTGCTGGCCGTTCCTGTCGCACAGCTTGTAGTAAGCAAACCCGCCGCGCTGCATGTCCGTTACCAGCTGCATGAATGGGAAGTTGCTGCTGAGGCCGAACACGATAAACTCAGCTTCACCCTGCCGGCGGCCGGCCTGGGTGAGGTTCTTCTTGAGATCTATGCCGATCACACAGCCAGTGACAGGCATGAACCCCCAGCGCCTGCAAGGGTGAAGCGGACAGGCCACCGCATCGTGAAATAATAATGGAAAGGAAGAAATATGGCAGATGACATTGACAGGTGGGTTCGCAATGTCTCTCACACACGCTGTTTCAGGACTTTCGTGTGCTGGTCACCCTCCGTGCACAGTATACTTCACTGTATGCACTCCCGGCCACGCTGCACCATCACAGCTTAAGAAGCGCAGCGACGACGGCAACCGCGCTTGAACCGACTCACTTGGCAACAAGCAGCTCATCAGCCTTCGACGTCAAACGGTGACCAAGGCCATAAAGCAAAATGTCCGCCTTGACTTGCTCCTTCCACGTCAGCTTGTTGAACAGGCTGCTGCCCAGGTTGTCGCGCAAGGCTGCCACGTACATTTCCCGCTGAGTGGGCTCTGGTGCGTTGTCCCTGTCCGCGACGCAAGCAAGCCGCCTGTCAAGAGGCAACACAGCTCAACACCTGCAGGTGCAGCAACCAGGGCCCCTTCTTGACTTGCAAGCAGGCCAACTAGGCAGGAAACACAACACCACCACACGGCGGAGGATGGCTGCCTTGGATGCTCACCAACCATAGTCAGCACCACCAGCCTCGCCGTGCAGCACAAGAGCTGGGTCCGTCTGATCGAAGGGCGTCGCGACAATCCGCAACAGCTGCCGGGCCAAGGAGAGCTGAATGGCACTGATCTCGGAAGCAACTTTCGAGGGGCTGCTGTTGACCGACCTGACTTCATCCGCCAGCCGCTGCGTCGCATCTGAAGGAGCGAATGAGCAAGGGGAACAAACCAAGGTACGATTGTACTGGTGTGCGGCATGCTGCACCACTGGTGCTTAAATAAATTGCCCTGATGCCTCATGTAAGCACGGTCACTGCTGGGCGCACCTGCAAGCGGCTGGAGCGATTGTGCTGTGAGAGGGGACGGGCAGCAATGAAGAGCAGCAGGTGTGCAGGCGGCGTCAGCATGGACGGTCAGGTGTGGAAGAGAACCAGGCACAAAACACGACCTGCAAAATGTGCCCACAGCTGCGGGGCGCACGGCATGATCTGTGCGTGCTTGCAAGGTGCAACTGGGTTTGAGACGAAGTCGGCGCTTCCAACAAGACGAGCAGCATTCAATGCGGCCAAGCCCGAGCCGCAGCCAAAAAGCACTGTGGTTGTAAGATGCATGCAAAGCGCGCCTGACGCTCCCCCGCCTGTGCCTGGACAGCAGCGAAGAACAGAACGGTGGGCGGCAAAAGACGTCGCATGGGCACGGCGGCGACAAAAGCCAGGTAGTGGGGTGCGACATGTGCGCAGGGCAGGGGGGGAGGGGGGGGACCACACAAGTAGTGTTGTGATGGGCTTTGTGTGACGAGCACGAGGCAGGTTGGGCACAGCTGCATTGCATGTGATGTGAGTCCAAACCACTGCAGCACACGCCTGCAGCATGCTGCGCAGCTGGCAGCGCTGCAGACAGGTGGCTACTCCCCGCCTCCGGCATCATCTGGAAGCCAGTGCCAAGATAGAAAGATCAAACTCCCCCGACCAAGTGCCGGTGGCCACGTGCTGAGCGCAAGCCCCACATAGTGGCATTTGATGCAGGGCATGAGGCAACGCATGCCCGGTTCGACCTCTGCAGCTGGTGCTGCAAAACCTTGCGTTGCTCAAACGGTACTGCAAAACATGTGGTATGCAGAAGGATCATCCATAACTCAGCGGCGGAGTTTGAGGCTAAGCATGTCATGTGCAAGGTTCAATGCCATTTGTGTAGCCCACTCGCACCTGGCTGCTGCTGCTGCTGCTGCTGCTGCTGCTGCTGCTGCTGCTGCTGCTGCTGCTGCTGCTGCAAGAGGAGCAGCCGCGTCTTGAATAGAACCGTCCGCTGACGCTGCAGTGCTGCCAGCCGCCGCTGCAGTTCTGCCAGCTGCCGCTGCATTCCTGCCAGCTGCTCCTGCACGAGCTCACGCTCTCTAGGGTTCTCTACATCTTTCAGTGCAGCCTCCTTTTCAGCAATAGCCTGTTTGACTTCTATGATGTTGTGCTGCACTTCTGCAATGGCCTGCTCAACACCGGTTGCCATTGCGTCCTGCAGCCGAGACGGGCGACGGAGGAGGGAGTCAAGCCGACGCTGCCACTGGGGTCAATGGGACAGGATGCTGCTGCTGGAGGCCACCTGAAGCAGCAGCCATGAAAGGACAATAAGGAGGCATGCCAACCATAACCAGTGTGTGCAATACCGTAGCTTGTGGGCGAAAGCGAGGGTGAAGGCAGCAGCACCAGCACCACACCGACATCCAGGACCCAGTCTGTGACCTTATCTGGCAGCGGTGAAAGCAAACCTAAGATCCCAGCCTCCTTCAGATACACGCTGCAGCGCAACGAACGTGAGGGTTAGTCGAAGGCCCGGATGCCCACCTTTTTGAGGCGTAAACAGTTTGCGTATGTACATAAAACACCTTAATTGCGGAAGTATGTTAAAATGCTGCAAAACCCTTCACCATGTACAGATTGTCGAGACCCTTGCGCTGGCGCCCGGATGCACCGAGTCAGGATCGTCCCAGAAGCACCGTATGTTTGCGACGTCGATTCAGATCCCTTTATTTGTGATAAATAGCACGTGAGCTTGCCTTCCAACATTGTCCACGTAGCTCGAGCCCTGGCAGCTCTCGGAAGTGCCCCGGGAGTCCTCAGCATTACCTGTGCGCTTTTTGTGGCCCACCAGGTGGGTCGATACATGGCACGAGTGGCGCGGCATGCTGCAACCCTTGCAAGCAAGCCCGCTGCACCATCGTGCCCTCGCTTGGTCCACTCGCGCTGGCGCAGGCGCGCACACGCGCGCGCGTGGCGCCCTCGCCCGGCCGACGCGCGCACATGCACCCCCTCACCAACATACACGGCGCCCCCACGCGTCACAAACGCCCCTCCCCTCCCCCTGCCACCACGGCCCCCGGCGCCTCTCCGGCCCCGCCGCCGCAGATAATATCTCGGCCCCCGCAGCAGCACCCCTGCGCGCAGCTACAGCCCCCTTCCCACCCCCCAGCCGCGGGGCCTCGGCCTCCAACAGCGTCACCAGCGCGCCACCGCAGCAGCCATGGTCTACCTGCACATGCTGGCGGTCTTCGATCGGGAGGTGAGTCATCACATCACATGCGGGCCCCCTTCAGGCTCGTGGACCCACCCGTGTTTGGCCTGGAGCCCCTCACCCCTCACCGCGCCCGCTCCTCGCCCCGCACTACTGTGCCGCCCCCTGCCCACACGGCCCCGAACAAGAGAGCTCAGAACATTCTCAAAAATTGTTCGCAGCGTTCTCCACAAACTTCGCTGACCAGGGCATTTGTTTGGTGCATGCGCCCGGCCTGCCGCCCCCTGCGCAGACCGCCAAGGCCCCCAGCGGCCTCACCGCGTGGAACGCCGAGCTGGGGCACCGCTGCCACACGCCGGCAGAGGACGCAAGGGCAGAGGTGATCGGGGGCGCCTCCACGAAACCGAGAACGCGCAGCCTTTTTCCACCACTGATTTGGCAGCGGCGGGGCAAGTCCTTGAGGGACAGAAACAGAAGAAGGTTTGCCCATGTGTCCAGCGGGGTGGCAAAGTCCCTTACCTGGGGGTAGCCGAGCGCGGCTGAGCGCCGCCCTGCGTGGCAGACCCTGGCCGGCTCACACACACACACACACACACACACACACACACACACACACACACACACACACACATTGCTCGGTGACGCATTCACACACACGAGCTTACGTGCGTGTGCAATGCCCACCCTTTGCTCAGGAGTCGTGCCGTCACCAGCTGGAGCGCGCCTACAGCGCATCAAAGCCCGCCATGCGCAAGCTGGAGCTGCTGGGCCGCGGCAACGGGTGGGCGGGCGGCCCTGCGGCTGCCTCGTCACAGCAGCAGCAGCGGCGGTGGCGGCGGCGGCAGCAGCAGCAGCAGCAGCAGCAGCAGCAGCAGCAGCAGCAGCAGCAGCAGCAGCAGCAGCAGCAGCAGCAGCAGCAGCAGCAGCAGCAGCAGCAGCGGGCGCCTCAGGGGAAACCAGCAGGACCGGCAACAAGGGGACTGGCAGCCGCATTCGCGCGGCGGCAGCTGGGCGCAGCTCTGAGGGGGGCGCTGCGCGGTCGCGGCGTCTGGGTGCGGCGATTGGCCGCACCTCCTCGTTTTGCCTTTTGCAGCAGACCGTGCGCAGCTGCCCCGCACCAGCATAGGACTCCCGAACGACCCCAGTGGCACTCTTGGGGCCCAACTGACACCACACAACAGCCCCAGCGGCCCCGACCTAGCATCACCCACCCCTGCTGCCGCTCCCTCCCCACACTCCAC